TTTAATACATATTATATACCTAACCAATTTTTACAAACTTACTTGATCTGAAATATGTATCTAGTAATATCTACAGCCCCTGCATGTTGGTAAAAACAGAATTAAAGACAATTTATTTTACACACGATATATATTTGACAAATATTTACATTGATATTTGATCTTGAATATATATCATTTACTTAATCTGCTGTTTATATTGCTGGATTCAAATTTATGTGACATTTTTCTGTTCATTTATATGTATTAGTTTTATATATTGAGGTTTTTTTATTCGCATACCTCTATCATTATAAAATATAATATAACATATTTTACAATTTATATTTGATAATATGTTAATAAGCATAAAATAAGCTACTGAAGTAGTACCTGATGTAAATTAGTTATCATAGAAACCATTATATTTTTGTAAGATATATAATATATAGCTTAAAACGACAACTTCTGACAAATATATCATTTTAAATGTATGTACAGAGGATGATACATGAAAAATATTATATAAAAAGGAATATTCGACCAGTTGATGTTATTATAGGAACATAGATTCCAAAGCGCAAGCGATATTTCTTCTTATATTATGTGTGACACGATAAAAGTCAAGACATTTGTATTTGATAAAGGCAACAATTAAATCAAGTAATATTGTTAAACATATATAATACGTATTTTTTGTAATCTTTCGTACGTTTTTATCTGATAATGCAAGATAAACTACTTTTTAACTTTTTGTACGGAAACGTATACTGACCCCCCTTATATTTATGAAAATGAAGACAATATCAGTAATTTCACGTAAGTTATATAGTTAAACATATATAAAACGACTAAATCTATCAGATATTTATAAAAATTCTTTTATAACTTCCACGTGAAAGTAAAATAATCTTTTTTGAAACGGTATAAGTCTGGCCTTTTAAGCGTTTATTTTTATTTGTGCTAATTTAAGTAAAATTCCACTTCGTATTATTTAAAATTTGTGAAATATAAATCATTGGATATTACAGTTATATATATTGAATATAAAATTAATACAGCATTATAGATTAGAAAGATATATGTCTCCAAATATAATTAACAATGTTTACTGTTTAATTATCTGCATCCAAATATAACGCATGCATAAATGCTGCAGTTATATAGTTCTCGGTAATAGGCAGATTGTATAATTGGATGTTTTCAATATCATGGTGCCTGTACCACGTGACTTTTGTGATCTGCAAGAGGCAAAGACCAATACAAATCAAAGCACTGAATGTACTGATGGGGAGGCTATGAGAGAATGTTTCAGACTTATAGTTTCTTTTCTTTTTGCTTAAAATATGCTACCAAAATAAAAAGATATGCACATTGCGCTATTTATCCTTACTGTTGTGTTCAACCATTCATATATATGGTTAATGAGGTTGACTATTCATTTTGTTAATATTCCAGAACATTTCATTGAGGTCTACATTCGGACTATTAATCATGCAAATTTTGAGAAACTTAAACTGTCAATAATAAATGACATACCAGCAAGTATGACGACTGTTAGTTATCAGATAACAATAACATTTTACAACTGACGGTTCCTTATCAAAATATTCTAGGACTGTTCATCATAAATTCTTTATGTCATTTTAATATCATTGAATGATAATAACAACTGCAAGTGATGCAACATTTTTATTGAACATAAAAATAATACACATTTAGACACTGTTAGATGTACCATAATTGAGATCAATAAGATACTGTCTTGTGATGAGTATTAATATTCCTGCTCTACGGACAGAAGGTTGTCTTCTCCAGAAGCAAATCTTGAATAAAATCACGTTTCAGAAAAATTATTCCCATTTCATTACTGACGGCGTCGGATAATATTTAAGCTAAATATTTCTTGAAAAAATACATATCTGCAAAGCTTATTCAAAACTGAATCAACCTATGTGAAAATTGATCAGGAAGTTATATCTTCTTTTTTTACCGCCAGCACTCAACCAACTTATGGTAGTTAATCGATAGATTCTACGTGTATTTTTAAACCTCACTAGCTTGAAATATAAACTGCGGAAAATCTGTTGTTAACAGGGTGTGCGGTTATTACGTAGGGTTTTCCCTGTCGACCATTTCCCGCAAATAGATGAGAACATCGAAGCCGTCAGTGCTATGAATGGTGTTATAAATGGCGTGTTTTTGAGGTTTTTGTTTAAACTTCTCCAAATCCCTCCAGAGGCGTGCACGTCGCGGAGAAGGCACGCGGAAGGTCATAGTCAAGTCATCATAAGTACCAGAGGTGATTGCTTGACCTGTCGTGACTTACTCTGGAGGTTTGGCGCTAATAGATGCCGTTTTTGTTGTCGTCAGTCAGAAAGTTGATGCCTTGACGGTATTGTCGTCTCCTTTACCACCAAAGAACGAAGAATGGGCTGTCAGGAAGAATCTGCTTGAAAAAGACGTCCCGGATGCTATAATCTCGGACATATGGTTATTCCGGCGCCGAGTATAAATAAACTTAAAACACACACATTTTTGTTGAAAACAAAACAAAAAAACAACAACACATTTTCTGTAGTAATTTTTCAAGTGTTGTAAAATGAATAAGAAATTCGTCTTATGCCGCCGATTATTTTTCGAACACAAACATAAAAGTTCTTTTTTTTATTTTTCAAATAAACATTAATCACTTCAGCGCGCGCAAATATCGTTTTCAAATTAAAGTTTCGTAAGATATGTTAATGACTCCCTGATGCTCGACTGTAAGTAATTTGTTTATGTATGCAGTTTTTTGTTTGTTAGTTTTTTTGTTTTTGTTTTTTAATTAAAGCTTCTTATTCTTTAATATTTTTATGTATCTCATAATATGTATTGAAAATTTGAATTTTATTACACATGGACTATCAAATAATGATGTATGCCCTAGAATTGAATAAACTTTCTAATTACACAATACGGGGTCATACTGATCTTTGCGTCTTTCTCTGAAATAATTATTTCCTTGTTAAACATATTTGACCACATATTTCTGTCAATTAACTGTTCACTTTACTTCCGATTTTTGTTGTATAGAAACACATGTGTCTATTTGTGTTTTCTAATCAATTCGAATCTATAATCAGTTTAATGGGATCACCACCGGGTAAACGACTACTAGGTACTTTGGTCATGTTTTTACCCCAAATATTTGAATGTTTCTATTGGGATTAAAATGAGCATAGTTAACTAAACAAATGGTTGTATAAATCCCTGACATGTCTAATTCTAATTATGAGATTAGTGAATATATAAGACTTTCACTACAAAATATTCCTAAACAAAAGAGCACATGTTTAAATTTATTCCTATACAAATAAAAGATCAGAGTAGGGATCTGTCAATTGCCAAAGATGCTTTTATGTTAAAAGTTTGATTAATGAATTATGTAAGATGAAAATATAAGTATTGCTTTTTTTTATTTTGCTAATGTAAAATGTAATATTGTGCTGGAATTTTGTCGGAGGGTCCTTAGGGGTTTTGTAGTTAAATAGTTTTTTTTCGGCGATAATGGTTCAAGAATATAATGTTTTCAAACTATATGTTCATCACCATCAGTGATTTTTTAGTTAAATGTATGCAAAATATTTACTAACAGCTATATGATATAGCGGTTTATGAGCGTTTTCCGCGTACAGCCTCCTGGGGTGTACTAATAAGTTAGTTTTCCTTAGTTATCACGCAAGCATGATCCATGTCTCTGATGTAAGCGACAGTTTACAATTATTTGTCTTTAAAAAATATTAAGGACTATTAATGGTTTATAACAACAAAAGAACATGCATGATATTGAGAATACGGTGTTACAACGTTCTAGTTAATGACCCGTCATAAACAGTTGGTCGCTGCGTAGTAATTGGAAAATTGTTATCAAAAATAATAAAGAATATTTGCCACTAAATTAAAGCATTTACTTATAAATTTTCATTTATGCTTTTTGTTAAAAAATATTGATAAAGTTATTATTTTGAAGGGTTTTCATACCAGAACTATTTATTACAGACGTACGTATGCCTAAACCTGATTACCGCGGCAGTATGACGTCACGGAGTAGTGAAAAAAAAATCAAGAATTTTTCAGAGAATTATTATCTTTACAAATTGCAGATATGAAATTAAAGAATGAAAATATTTTCATATTTTAAATGTCTGTGATGAGCGATGAGTCAGCTTAGAAAAAATCAAGGTACTATTTTTTTACCTGATTAACGCGGCAGTAAGATTTGACGGACGGTTATTAACATTGGGTCAGCATAGCCTCCCCAAAAACTGGAACGGTCGTTATTCGGCTGCATAGCAGCCGAGTCTTTTAGAACTTTGAAAAAGTCGCATGATTTACTGCGGAATGACACGATTATCTTTGCGAGTCGTCAATAAAAGTATTTTAAAACATTCACATTAATCAGCTTTACACTTCAGGACCAATTTAATATTTCTTGCTATATTTTAAAACTTTTTAAAAAGGTTTTATTAAGATTTACGGATAATTTCTTACACTAAAAATTTAATCTCCAAATCAAGCGCAATATAAAAGAATGGTTTGAATCAACATAGAGATAAAATAATGTCTCTTTAAGCAGTTGTGACCCGTTTAACTTTAATTCTAGAACAAATATTTCAAACTTTTAAGCGGGCATTTCTGATTTGTTATTTTATTGCTATGAATGAAAGTCGTTCACTCATTACAACACATTTAGCTCCACTTTTCGAAGAAAAAAGTGGAGTCATAGCTAAAACCCTCCTGTTGTTTTGCATTGGTGTTAAGAAATCTTTTTAAGGCCCATTTTCACAGAAACTGTAACTACTATTCACTTCAAACTTAGTATACAAGTTTATTGCCTTTAAAGGACACCATTTCTTGTTCAATTTTAAAATTGGTTAGCACTTCAAAAGGCCTGGTCACATTTTTCTTAGTTACGCTTTCTTTTTGATATACATTTACGGTAATGTTTTTGGCAAGGTATATTTCTAAGATATGGCACCATGAAGCTTGATGAGAAGAAAGGTATGTAAAATAAACTTTGTCAACAGCGATGAAAGAAGAGGGCCATGATTGTCCTTATTTTGCGCACCTGATTATTAAGGCTCTTAATAAATGTTGTAAGCAAACTACGAAAAGCAGATAAAATGTCAATGTCTTAAACTGATATAAAAAGTTTCATATCTGCACCTGAAATAGTGCAAAGATAAAAATGTGTTTCTATATATAAGCTGTAAAGCAATAATATTTTCCGGAATGCGCATATTATCGCCTTGTTTGGGGTCAGACTCTTCAATACAGAGTTATGGCCTTTGCTTAGTTATGCAGTATTTATATAATGCAATAATCGTTTCCGTGCTATTTATCTGTAACTGTTAGCTGGAATTCAACTGAACTTTATGGAACCATCAATACCAATTGAAGATACGCATTCCGTCGCCTGGTTTTCAGTCAGATCTTTCAAGACAGAGTTATGGCCATTGATTAGTTATGCAGTATGTATATAGATCAATAATCGTTTTTGTGCTATTTCTCTGCAACTATTGGCTGAACTTCAACGAGGCTTTTTAGGAACAATCAATAGTAATAGGAGATGCGCATATAGTTGCTTTGTTCCGGTCAAACCCTTCAAAACAGTTTTAGCCTATTATTAGTTATCCAGTGTGCATATAATGCAAAACTTGATTCCGCGCTATTTATCTGCAACTATCGGCTGGAATTAAACTAAACCTTATTGGAACCATCAATACCAACTGAAGATGCGCATTTCGTCACCTTGTTCTGGTCAGATCCTTCAAGACAGAGTTATGGTCATTGACAAGATATGCAGTATGCATATAGAGATATAATCGTTTCCGCGCTATTTCTTTTCAACTTCTAGTTGAAATTCAACGAATCTTTATGGGAACCATCAATACTAATAGGAGATGCGCATATTGTCGCCTTGTTCCGGTAAGACCCTTCAAGACAGAATTTTGGCCATCGATGCTGTATGCATATAATGCAACAATCGTTTCCGCGCTATATATCTGTAACTATTAGCTGGAATTCAACTGAACTTTATGGGAACCATCAATACCAATTGAAGATAAGCATTTCGTCGCCTTGTTCTGGTCAGATCCTTCAAGACAGAGTTATGGTAATTGATAAGTTATGCAGTATGCATATAGAGCTATAATCATTTTCGCACTATTTCTATGCAACTTCTAGTTGGAATTCAACGAATCTTTATGGGAACCATCAATACTAATAGGAGATGCGAATATTTTTGCCTTTTGCCTTGTTCCGGTAAGACCCTTTAAGACAGAGTTTTTGCCATTGATTAGTTATGCATTTTGGATATAGAGTAATTATAGTTTCCGCGCTATTTATCTACAATCTACTGACATGAATTCAGAGAAACTTTATGGAACCATCAATACCAAAAAGAGATACACATATCTTCACTTTGCTCGGGACAGACCCTTCAAGAAAGAGTTATGGCTCTTAATAAGTTATGCAGTTTACATATAGAGCAGAGCAATAATTCTTTCTTTCCGCGCTATTTCTCTGCAAGTACTGGCTCGAATTAAATGAAACTTTATGGGAACCATCAATACCAAAAAAAAAAATGCGCATATCGTCATCTTGTTCCGGTCAGACCCTTCAATACTGAGTTTTGGCCATTGATAAGTTATGCAGTATGCATATAATGCAATAATCGTTTCCTCGCTATTTATCTGCAGTTATTGGGTAGAATTAAACTAAAACTTATGGGAACCATCAATACCAATTTGAAAAGCGCATTTCGTCGCCTTGTTCCAGTCAGATCCTTCATGTTATGACCATTGATAAGTTATGCAGTGTGCATTTAGAGCAATAATCGTTTCCGTCCTATTTTTCTGCAAATTCTGACTGTTATTCAACGAAACTTAGTGGCATTTCGTCGCCTTGTTCCGGTCACATCCTTCACGAGTTATGTTTCTTGATTAGTTATGAATTTGCATATAGAGTAATATTGTTATTTCCTACAACTGCTAGATTGATTTTAACAAAAGTTTATGAGAATCATCAATACGAAATAGGAAATTAGCTTGCATGCAATGATAAATTTATGAACTAAGTCTTTTGTCTTCAGTTGTCGCGCTTTTAATAACCAAAACTCGGCGGGGGACATCTAACCATCGACTTTGCTTGTTTATATCAAGACAGTTTTGCCGCACTTGCATTGATTTATCATAATGCTTTTGACATTACTTACGTATATCCCGATAAAACGATCAATAGATGTTTAAAAACAAAAATATCAATCATAAAGATCTAAGTTTGAGGATTAAGTTAATCATTAATGTTTCAGACATTTCTGAAAGTTAAGCCCTCAGTCGCCATCTTGACAAGGTGATTAACAACGTCGTCAAGTGATTGATCTTTAATTAGTTGTCAATATGCACGGCGGATGAGAATAACACCATATGATCTTTTTATCCAGTATATATTTAAGATAAATGGTTTCTTCATTATTCATTACTGTATTCAGCTCTAAAAGAAGAAGCGCGAGTATAGAACCAATTAGATAAAATGTTGAATCACACAGTGTTTGGAAGTGTTGTGGCGGTGTACAGCTGTTTTGCAGAGAATAAGCAAAGTAGTTAGCTATATTATTACTTCAATACTTTCAATGGTATGAAAAAAATGTTGCTTTTTCCTTTATCCATTAATACACACGAAGTCAGAACTTTGTCCGCACACCCAAATCTCAAATCAACTCAAAAGAAAAATTCACAACATAAAAATATATTCAAATTTCTTCAAAACAAACTTGTTTTCTAGTTTCTAAAGGTCAATAGATAGATGAATAGAACAACAAACTATTTTATGACAATGGAATGGAACAGCATTACACCGATGCATTTTGTCCATTGCAAAACAGTGCCCCTCAAGACGGAGACAACGTGTTATACGCAGGATTTAATTGACGCCACGATACAAAGTCTCGATAAACTACCATCAATATATGAAATATAGACAGTTGTGCAGTCCATTATTTTGTACAGAGATTAGAAAACATTATCTTTCAATTTGACGAAAATGTAAATAAAATGGTTTGCAACAAAGCAAGAAATTTTAAAATGGATGCCGAAGTATTAAGTACGGTAGTTATCTCGTTTCCACGACTATGTAACTCTTGCGCACCACTTAAGTATTCCTGCACACGACTTAGTAACTCGTGCCCACGACAAAATATATCGCGCGCATCATTTATTATCTCGTTCCCACGACGATGTGACACGTGTCCCCGTTATAGTATCTTGTACGCACTACTTAATTATTTCATGCGCACGACTAAGTAACTCCTGGCCACTCCAAAGTATTTCGTGCACACGAGATAAATAAAAACGCACAAATGTCACCTTTATGTAACCGTTTCTTTAGCTTAGATATGTGAATTATTTATATACTTTATTTAGGACTCACAAAATAAATTGTGTAATTCCCAAATGAATCATGCGGCTTTTCAAAATGATATAAGACTCAGCAGCTGCATTGCAGATGAATAAATATGGTTTATGTTACAACTATATTTTTTTAAATAAGCATATTTCAATGGTAGCTTTCATGTTGCATGTAACATAGTATTTGGCGGATGCTTTAATTGAAAAACATATAAACACACACATAAATAAATTCATTTAACATTTTGCCTTTACCTATGAGATTTCTGCTTCGTTTTTCTTTACTGTAGAAGCAATTAGAGGTAATTTAGATGTCTTCTTTAGCTGGGTATACACATAGTAACACGCGATTATGTTTTACCCATCGCAGAAGTTTTAAAATGTTCCCAGCAACTGTGATTAAATAAGACCCATTGGAACAAAAAAAAATGAATTTTTAAAGATGCACTTAGCTTTTGTATACAACAGATGGATGATATTCTTGTACTGTTTCACTTAACTGCATTCTTCAAGGGATGGCTATATACTAGCAGATCAAAGTCAAAGATCATGTTACTCTACTGTAACGGTACTGATATACCGTTAAACTACTATAAAAAGAATGGGGCATACCTTTTTATATTTGAGGTAGTTTTTATATTTCATCTCAAACATTGTTTGCTTTCAATAATTTATCAATGATCATTATAAAAGCCAATCTTTCGGAATATATCGTTCATCTTATTCTTCTTCACAACGAAAACATGAGCATAATGTCATATTAATGAAAACTGGACCTTTTTTTCAATAAGGTTTAAATAAGATTTACACTAATACATTAATCTCCAATTCAAGCGCAGCATAAACGAGTGGTTTGAATCAACAGATAGATAAAATGCTATCTCTATAAGCAGGTAAGACCCGTTAAGTTTAATTTTAGAACAAATATTGCAAACTTTCAAGGGGGCATCTCTGATTTATTGTTTTATTGATGTAAATGAAAATCGTCCAGTCATAACAGCGCATTTTAGCTCGATTTATCGGAGTAAAGTGGAGTCATTGCCAAAACCCTCCTGTTGTTTTGCGTTGGCGTTAAGAAACCTTTTTAAGGTTCATTTTCTCAGAAACTGGAACTATTATTTACTTCAAACTTAGTTAACAAGTTAATTGCATTTAAAAGACACCATTTCTTGTTCAATTTTAAAATTGGTTTGAATTTCTTAGTTACGCTTCCTTTTGGTTAACCTTTACGGTAATATTTTTGGCAATGTATTTTTCTAAGATATGGCGCCATAAAAGCTTGATAAGAAGAAAGGTCTTGAAAAGAAATTATCTCCAGAGAAATGACACTTATAATCAAAGGTGAAGCAAGATGGTCATAATGGCCCTTATATCGCTTACCTGAGCATGAAGGCTCTTAATAAATGTTGTTAGCATGAATGAAAATCGGACACATTTCTAGCATATTTTGGCTGATAATATTACATTTATGTCGTTAACAAGTTTTATTTTAATATTTAGGTTCTGTGGCCAAGTTTTTGACCCCGGATAACCAATTTTTAACTTAAGCTAGAAATTATAAAATTTACATTTCTAACAAATTTTTAGGATATTTGAGCTTAAAATGTTAACTTTGTAGTGTTAACTAGGTGCTTCTATATTTCGTCTGTGAGACCAAGTTTTTGACCCAATATGACACATATTCGAACTTGCACTGGAAATCATCAAAATAAATCCTTCTAAACGATTTCCAAGACGTTTGGACCAAGAAAAATGTCTCTAAAGTGTTAACTAGGGTTTCAATATTCCGGGGGTGTGAACTTGTTTTTGACCCATATCTGTACTTGACTTAGAAATGTTTAAATTGACGTTTTAAACGAATTTTCATGATATTTGAGCTTAAAATGCTTTCACTAGAGTGTTAACCATATGTTATTTTTCATATTTCATCTATGTATACTAATTCTTGGCCAAGTTGACCCATGTTCAAACTTGACCTAGAAATCATATAAACAACCCCTGTGGTCCATTTGCAGCATATTTGAGCTAAAATGTTTCCTGTAAAGAGTTTATTAGGTTGTTTTTCATATTTGGGCTGTGTGACCTAGTTCTTGACTTAAGATGACCCATATTCTAACCTGACCTAAGAACATCAAAAACATTCCTACTGTCCAGAATATTTAGACCGAAATTTCTATTTTTGGCTCCTCTGACCAAGATGAACCATATTTGCACTCGTTCGAGCAATTGCTAAGACAAACATTATGACCATGTTTGGCAACAATTGAAGCAAAAATGTGACCACTCGTGTTAATGAACTAAATTTGGACGGATGACAATCAACGGACGGCGGAAATTCAAAGATCCTTAAGGCTCTCCCTGAGTCTGCTTATAGAAAAAGGTGGAACATCTACCAAGTCCATTTGTACTGGCTAAAAGAAAACGACATTCACTTCGAAACAAAAAATTGGAATCAATAATCCCGAAGAGATTTAAGGGCAGTTTTTACAATTCCAACACTTGCTGCTGTTAACAATCCAGATCTATTATGCCCCAGAAGTGCTTTCACTTATATTTCTCAAAAAAAATAAATGTTAGTTTTTGACATCTGGTTAGAGCTTCTAAACAGTACTCATTTGCCACAAAGGTTTTCTCCTTTTGTTATGTTGGTAATTGGAAAAAATGTATTGAATAAGTATTTTGTATGGAAGTCAAAATACTACTTCGTTTACATTTTGCTACCTTTACGACAAATTATTGCACATTTTACAAGCACATAAAAAAACTAATAAAAAAAAAAGTTAAAATCTAAACAAGAGGGCGATGATGGCACTGAGTCGCTCACCAAAAAATTTTACTACTTTTCAGTGTTGGAATGTCAATTTATTCTCATATTTAACTTGAGCATAGAATATGTCTGAACAATAATTTGAAGAAATGACATGACCTGGGGCATTTAAGCTTTCGCTTAAACGGGGCTAATCAAACAAGATATGTTTGTAAAACATGTATGCCCCCTATGGGCAGCCAATTAGTCATGTGATCAGGTTATTATGCATGACTTCTGACCAAGTGAACAAACTTAATATGGGTTATCTACTGGTCATGACTAGTCACAAGATAATAATTATTGTGACCCCCTAGGTTGTGTGCAGCAATTTAAGTTATGACCAATCATCTTACCAAGTTTGAAGTTCCTAAGCCTAAGCGTTCTTAAGTTATTGATCGGAAACCGTTTTTACCTACAAGGTCAATGTGACCTCGACCTTTGACCCAAAAATCAATAGGGGTAATCTACTGGTCATGACCAATCACCATACCAAGTTTGAAGTTCCTAGGTCTAAAAGTTCTTAAGTTATTGATCGAAACCGTTTTACCTACAAGGTACATGTGACCTTGACCTTTGACCCCTTGACCCAAAAAATCAATAGGGGTCATCTACTGGTCATGACCAATCACCATATCAAGTTTGAATTTCCTAGGCCTAAGCGTTCTTTAGTTATTGATCGGAAACCGTTTTTACCAACAAGGCCAATGTAACCTTGACCTTTGACCCCTTGACCCCAAAATCAATAAGGGTCATCTACAGGTCATGACCAGTCACCATACCAAGTTTGAAGTTCCTTAGTTTAAGCGTTCTTTAATTATTGATCGGAAACCGTTTATACCAACAAGGTCAATGTGACCTTGACCTTTGACCACTTGATCCCAAAATCAATAGGGGTCATCTACTGGTCATGACCAATCACCATATCAAGTTTGAAGTTGCTAGGCCTAAGCGTTTTTTAGCTATTGATCGGAAACAGTTTTTACCTACAAGGTCAATGTGACCTTAACCTTTGACCCCTTGACCCCAAAATCAATTGGGGTCATCTACTGGTCATGAACAATCACCATACCAAGTTTGAAGTTCCTAGGCTTAAGGGTTCTTTAGTTATCACTCGGAAACCGTTTGGTCTACAGATCGACGGACCGACAAATGCAAAGCAATATCCCCCTCTTCTTTGAAATGGGGACAAAATTAATATGAGCAAACTTGCTCTAAAATGCTACAAAGTTTAGTGATCATCTATCAATTATTTCAGTAGTAAATGATGTTCGAAGGTTTTTTTTCTATTTTTAGCTTTAGTGGCCCCCAAAAGGGCCAATCAAATTAAAATAAGCAAACTTGATAAAAGATTACCCAAAATATTACAGACAAAGTTTGGTGATCATCCATCAGTTACATCTCAAGAAATAGACATTTAATGGTATTTCTATTTTTAGCTTTAGTGGCCCATAAAAGCGGCCAATCAAATTAATATGAGCAAACTTGATAAAACACTACCCGATAATGCTGTCGACAGAATTTGGGGATCATCCATCAATTAGTTCTGTAGGAGAAGAAGTTTAAAGGTTTTTCTATTTTTAGCCCTAGAGACCCCTAAAAGGGGCCAATAAAAATAATAGTACCCAACTTGATAAAAGACTACCAAACAATTCTACAGACAAAGTTTGGTGATCATCCATCAATTAGTTCTCTAGAAACAGACATTTAACAGTATTTCTATTTTTAGCTTTAGCGGCCCCTAAAAGGGACCAATCTAATTAATATGAGCAAACTTGATAAAACACTACCCAAGAATGCTACAGACAAAGTTTGGTGATCATCCATCAATTCAGTAGGAGAAGATGTTTAAAGGTTTTTCTATTTTTAGTCCTAGAGACCCCCAAAAGAAGCCAATCAAAATAATATTAGCAAATTTAATAACAGATTACCTAAGTTTGCTACAGACAAAGTTTGGTGATCATCCATCAATTAGTTCTGTAGAAATAGACGTTTAAAGGTTTTTCTATTTTAGCTCTGCTGACCCCTAAAAGGGGCCAACTGGAATGACATGAGTGTGACTGTCACAAGGATGCTACAGACCAAATTTGAAGTAAATCTGCCCAGTAGTTTCAGAGAAGAAGACTATTGTTGACGCATGACGACGGACGATGGACGCCGGAGCATCCCCCTATGATACTAATAGCTCACCCTGAGCCTTTAGCTCTGGTGAGCTTAAAATAATAATGATAATAATAATTAAAATACATGAATATATTGCGTCGACATATCTACATAAAATACATGTGTGCACATTTCACTAAAATACTTTTGTTCAAATTTCCTTAACCAGAACGTATAAGGTTTAAGCGAAGATAAAAGAGAATAAGGCAAGGAATTTGAATTGTTACTTGATTTGTTAGCATATGCTATCGCAACTTAAAACTAGCAGACGTTTTGACATAAAAGGGACGCGCTTATCGATATTGTCACACTCACTGCTACAGTCGAGTTGAATAACACTGAAACCATATTTAAAACGCTATGAGGACTTTCTTAAGTTTTGTATTCAGTTTTGCCTGCCTATGGCTATTGGATAATGCAGGTATTCTTTACTCGTTATAAAATCTAAAGTAATATATCAATACGATGAAATACAGCGAATAAGTTACGGTGTAATTCTCTTGGAGTTCGTTTTCTATTATTACTCAGATTTATCATACGCATAAACATATTTTTCTATTTAAACTGCGTCATTGATATCATGTCAATTGAATGAATATTATTTTAAGGATCATCTAGAAAGATTCTGTGCCAAGCAGAAAATAGTGATCATGTCTTAATAAAAAATACTTAATAAAAATTTTAACAAAATACATTTTCTTTTAACAAGACAATTGTTATGTCCAGATTTAAAGAAAGATGGACAAGTCCATTTTAAATATTTTGTGCCGTTTGGGTATATCAACAACAACAACAACAACAACAACAACAACAACACAAATGTTTTCAAAAAGTTGACATCTTCTACGGCTTAAAATCAGAGTCAAATACAATTCGACATATTTATATATTTTTAAGAAGGAATTGATGATAAAAAATAACTGTTTTAAAATAAGTTATCTGTCTTCATGGAAATTAAGTTGAAAATGATTTCTTTGTTTAAGATTCTATTTAGCCTTTACCCAGTTATAATCGAACGATAATAGCCTATTTGCATTCCATCTAAATTCTGTTTGCTGGCAAGCTTCAAATTCCCATTATAATATTTAAAAATCTATAATGGAAATTTCCAAAATGTAAGCTGTACAGGTTCATCTGTGAGATTAATAAGGTTAAGGCATTTTTAAAATATCGTTACTATAAAAGTTAGTTTAAATCGGGAAAAGCTCACATTTAATAATTTAATAATAAGTCTGTAAAAAGTTGTTAAAAGGCATTCATTAAGAAAAGTGAAAAGACATCTATAAGGAATGAAATAATGAACACATACATAAAACGTTTCTTTAATCTTATATAAATGAAATTAAAGATGTAACATAATCAATCACATATACATATAATGAAAAAAAAATCATGATATAAATTATTCATCAGTAAATGCTAAGGATAAATGAGTTTAACCAGTTAAGACTTTGAGACAAAATTTTCAATATTATTATGCAGCTACAATTTTTAACCACTGATATATTGATATCGTCGTCGTGGTATCTTTTTTTCTTTTCAAAGATTTGTTTAGAGAAATGGTAATAGTGGAAGTTATTTCATTATTTTTGTAGATGCAGCAATTACTGCTTGGACAAACCCTGATATAAAAAGTGCAAACGGCAATGGAACTTTTAGTGTTGCTGAGGACCAAGTATTGGCTACAACAATACAAAAGCTCGCTGCAACTGGAACCGGTACGATAACATAAAATGTTCCAAATGCAGTCAGCCCTTTCACAGTGGAGACTTAAAGATAACTGCAGCTATTGACTACGAAACAAAAACTTCCTACGTACTCGTAGTAGAGTAAGTATGTTCATATTCAAAACAAAATTAATGGTTTTTTTTGTGACCATCAAAAGAATCTGTTACTTAATTGTCATATTTAACTGAAGATACATGTAATATTAGTCGTAATATTCATAAGTCTAAGACTTTTTGTCTTTTAAAGCTTTGAAATTAATTTTACAAACAAATGTAATTTTTTGTACAACAGTCTTACATTAAATTTACGGGAGTAAGATGCTTAACTAAAGTGCAATTAATGTTTTTTTTTTAGAGCGACCTACAACGGTCAATCTACGGGCACAGCAACGATAACTGTTACAGTAACTGATGTCAATGAACCGACATTTAGCGCCTCTTCATACGATCAATGTATCGTAGACAAATCTGCGGTTGGTAAGTGAAATCAACATGCATGTACATGTTTATAGTTTCGAAGACATACTATGCTCATCCTTGAGTAATATATTTTAATCACAGAAATTTATTGAAATCCATGAAATACTTGTATATGTCGTATTTAAATAACAATATGAATAAACTATGCATGGGAAGCTGCATTCCGTATTACAGGTCAAGTTGCTCTTTTCTATAAAAAAAACTGCCAGTTTTTTAAATGACACTATATATACATATTGTGGCCACCTAACTAGAGGGTGTAGAATTTTAAATATAACATGTGTACTTTGTTTGAAGTCAAAACATGTTTATTTTATATTGACAAACAGATATAAGTGTAAGTAAAATAATTCAAGCTGCAAAATAATTATTTTACAAATTATTGATCAATATAATTTTACAAGTTAAACCAAATTTATTCAGTTTCCATCTGGAACCACCTTAGACTATTTCAAATTCTATAATGATATATCTGACATTTTATCTGTCATTTTCATTGCTGTGTAGAATGTCATGTTATCATTCTATTTCGATGAAAACATTTTATTTATTAGAAAGATATATATGTTTAAATTGAGACTTTTATCATGTTAAATTTTAATCATATTAAATTTGTAATAAAATTTAAAGATGTACTATGCTCAAATTCAATATTTGATAATATTCATAGTTGGTACACAGTCTCTTTGTAAATTCCAAATTTACATGTTTTAACTTCACACAAAGTAGATATGGTGTGTTTAAAATTCTACACACTATAGGTGGTTACAATATGAATATATAGTGGTATAAAAAAACCTGGCATTTTTGTAAGAAAAGATCTATTTTACTTGACCTGTAATAGGGAACGCAGCTTCCGATACATAATATAGTCATTCTTTTATTCAAATTGGACATACCGGTAAGAATTACAATTAGATTTCAATTAATTCCTGTGATAACATATTTTACCAAAGGATGACACAATATATCTTAAATAACGTTCCTATCATTTTAAAAACTAGATTTGTTACCTATTTCAATGTGAACATTTAAAAAAAGAAAAAGAAAATATTTCATGTTTGTCTGGGCAAAAATTCGAAACGAATTTCTTTTGTTTCTGATCTATGGCGACACATGCGATTTTATTTATAAAAATAGATTGATCGGTAACCTTAAACACACCCATCAGATCGAATTTGAAAACATTGCCGGACAAAAATGGTAAACAAAACATGATGAGTTGCAATTATGTACTTTAGATAATATCATTAATGATTCTTTATTAAAGTTTTGAGTGAATTATCAGAAGTGAAATATTAAATGTGTGGAAGACTGCATTTAAACTCGCATAAAACAGTAGTATATTTTCTCTATATATATTGTATATTTTGAGCGGACTGATAATTTTTTATATTTAAGGTTTTCTCAGAATACGCATTTATAAGGAATTTAACGTTACATGATAATATAATATCATCCTCCTTCAAAACATGCTTTACCAGATGCTAATAACTGACTTAAAAATGTCTTATATTGTCATAGGAACTGAATTGATTACAGTAAAGGCAACCGACGCCGACACAACAGAAACAGTGACACATGTGATAGAAAGTAAGTAAACTGAACACTTCATCTTATAATTTTTACTAGGATTTGACTCAATACAGGATTGGAGCAGTACCTCTAAACTTTTGCAGAAATCATGATCACAAAATAGACAAATATCGTTTTTATCGCCGGTTCTTACATTTTTTATTCATTATCGTATATAAACCGGTGTGAAAAGATGAATTACACTCTTTAAAGTTCATTCCGTAATGCGAAAAGGCGAGATTGTATCATTTAATAATTCAAGAGTCTTGTCCGGTATGTACCGGAATGCGATATTTAGTGTGGTGCTGTCTCGCTCATTTCATTAAAGATCGTTTAGACTTTTACAATCACAGTTTTTATATGTGACAAAATTATTGAAAATTGGCATGCATTTATCGAAACTGGTCATGAATATTATTAAATTTTCCATGTATTTTCTTTGACCGTTTACAGGAGAGATTCTCACAATAAAATAAACGATAACGACAGGAAAAACATTTATCCTTATCATTTTATCATATCCATGAAAATTAAAGTTGGGTTCTCTTCCATGAGTTTTGGAAGTTGAGCAAATAATTTTAATACAGTTCGAAGATCGAAAACAAAATATAAATATGGCCAATCAAACAGATGCTTCATTCGCCTTCTGGAGACCAAAAACTAAGGTCATATTGTTCTACCAAATATTACTTTAACCCATGAAAAATGTTGCTACATCAATCAAAAATATTTCATATTAGTTAAAAACATAACATATTAATATGAAAATGGATGAGTTATATTTATTTTCATTATTTTCAGGAACTACTTTCTCACGTTGTCAGTGACAGACAATAGTTAAATTTACTCATTTCGTTATCACAAATATAACAATAATTCTAGATATGTTTTCTCTTTAAACAGTTTATGATGATGAAGTTTTGTACAGGACCGCGTCATACATCTATAAATAATAAATATTACTGCTCACTTTACAATTGCACCCCATAAACAAGTTGTGGTTTTCTTGGCGATAAATTCAATTAATTTAATTTTATTATATTAACACAGATGGCAACACGAATGATGACTTTGGCATTGCTGGCACAACAGGCGTTATCACAGTTGCAAAAGTCCTAGATATGTCTACAACAGCTAAGTACACCCTCCTCGTGATAGCTAAAGATGGTGGTTCACCAGAACACACATCGACTGCCACAGTGAATGTCTCCGTTCAATCAGCATGTAGTGACGCCGTGACTACTGTACTCAGTTTGTCAGCGATACTGTTATCCCTCCTTTCCACACGACTTTAACAATATACATTGACAACAATTGTTGTTATATTTTTCTGGTCCTAAAAGATCATTTATTTCAATACTTTAAGCGTTGAGGACTGAATAATACTTAAGCTAACGCTAGGACCTATTTAAATGTGTTTTTTCGTCATATTTATATCTCGTGAATCGACTAAATAATTATTTTTTTACTTTTTATTTTCTATCCAATTGATCACGGTTAATCTTATCTTTCCAGATTTCTATTTCTATAACAACATGTCGTTATGTTAACACAATTGTGTATGCCTAATTCTTTCTCTTTTGCCTTTTTATGGCGAGGTGTTGTTTAAAGAAAATGTGACTGAAACAGTATAGTTTCCTTTATTTTCGTTTATAGTCCGATCATAATATTTTTACGTGTAACTGTCTTCACATGTACATAGGATAAATTAATGTTAAATCAAAACTTAAGTTAACAAAAGTTAACATAATTAAATACAAGGATTTCCTTCTTAGCATTAATCGTTATCTTAAACGAATAACAACTAAATTAGAAATAGGATTTACATACTCGATCAGTATCAAGATATATCCGGATAATGAGACAACCGTACATGTTGAATAAAATTGAAATTTTTCTTTCATGGGAAAGATTATCATAAAATGTATTCTTATGCTTTGTAACAAATAGTGCTGTACAATGACAACTGTGAATATCTTACTAGTCTCTTACATGAACAAAGGGTTTTATATACAAAAATGTTTAGCTGAGAATAGAATTTCATTTTTGTTCGGAAAAGCTGGCGGGCTGAGAAATCCAAGGTAGCTGACAAGAAGGTCACAAAATATGAAAATTACCATTAAATATATTTAACAATATTTTGGCTGTTGCATTACTGTTGATCACTATTGTATCAACTGTATTATTATCAAAAATTCAGTTTTAAAATCAATTGTCAATTATAATGGGTGGGTGCGTGGTTATATGTTGCAAATGATACATATTCTTTTTATTTCAAAACAATGTAAGTTACTCTATTCCTGACTATAACAGTTAAACGGAACGTTGAGATCATTGAGTCAAATTACGTAAGGAAGATTAATTCTGAAATTATGGTAGTTTGAAGTGTAATGAATAGATTATCTCCCGTGAATTGCAAGTCGTATATGAAGGCATGGAATAAATATGGTTAAAATTAAAGCTTCAATAGTGTTTGCTTTTTTAATTGACTGAAACATTCTCATGAGAGGTTTTGGAATAATAAATAATCAACACCTTCAAATATATGAAACAAATCTGGAAAAAGTCTGATCCCCGGAAGCATCCATCACAACAAATTTACATGAAAAATGGAGACTCGGTTTGACTGAGTCTGTAAATGAGGGAGAACGAAAATGTGAAACATCCCTAACGCCCCATTGTTAAACTACATTTTGTTTTTATCTGTTTATTTTTGACAATATATTTTTTTACTTGCTTATTTATTAAGCCAAACATATCATATTTGATTCAATTAATTGATAAATGATGACCTCCCAATCTCCTTGCATCAGGAATAATCGTTTGAAATTTTAATATAACGTATGATAAGAATAGATATTATTTCTTTTTCGAAAAAAAAACAACAAACTTTATTTGGAGACTTAATACCTTCATATCATTATCATAATGTACACATATATTATGTTATAAATGCTATTTAATTTCAAGTATTAAAATGAACACGTTATGCCTCTCTGGTTGCATTACTAGTCCACTGATAGTTTACTTGACCTACTGCGCAATATGTTTATTGTAAGTTTTATCAATTATATCTGCCAGCAAGGACACAACTTCACCATCCACAAACTTAAAGAAGAGAAAAAATTAAAAAGTCCAAAAAAATTGACAAGGGGAGATAATTATCTTATCTTAGGAGCAACTCAATCAAAGCAAATAGTTGAAATTTGCAGGCTCAATTTAATCGGCTCTTTATGAAAGTTTATGTAAAGTGCAATACCTAACCTAGCACCGACTCACGAGTTATTGAGGTATTCAATCATCGATAATCAAAGATCCCTAAGGACTAACGGCACCCTAGGTCTTTATTTTCAGTCTAGTTATATGTTTCCTATTTAGACTGAAAATAAAGACCTATGTATATACAACACATTGTATTGTTATTCCTATTGTCATTACTAAAATTATAATAAAACATTTTAATTTGTTTCAGGTTTAAAGAAATACCGAATAGACATATAGTATTTACTTATTTTATCAGCGAGAATTCCCAATGTATGTCCGTAATACATCAGTGAGTTTCGTAGTCAGTACCCAATACTTTGTAGTCATTCGGAGTAATCTTGATTATTATTATCATAAAATATTTCGTTTTAGCCAATAAAATAATTTATGTTTTCAAAAATAATATACAAAAATATATACCTGCAACAAACATGCATACTTGACTCTCACAATGCATTTGGTATCATGAGAAGAAATTTACGTGTAAATCACAACAAAAAGAAAAACGGAAAAGAAAGAAAGAAACAAAAAAACCAAGTCATAAATGCTTCTTTTGATTGTTTAAAAAACTTTTTGCTGTAAGGTCAGAAAAAATTATACAATGATTAAGTTAATTGTAATCAGATAAGCCTTGTAACTTATGATTTAGTTCAAATCTAACACTGCTGGTAAGGGTGAAAGAAAATATTCTATTATGTTTATCTGTTTCAGTTTAAAAAAATAGCCTTTTCACAAAATTTTATTTTACTTAGAACGTCCTTTTTATTTCATGGAAATTCTTTTTTATTTTATTTATGTTTGTTAAAAATAAGACATTTCATTGAAATTCTTTTTTATTTTATTTATGTTTGTTAAAAATAAGACATTTCATGGAAATTCTTTTTTTTTATTTTATTTTTGTTTGTAAGAAATAAGACATTGACATACATTGTATACTTTTATTATATCGGTCAATATACCTATGTAAAGAAACACTATATTGCGCATTATTTGTGAAAAATGATATTTAACGATGTTATTCTCTACCATGTGGATGTTATTTCGTATTTATATATATACCGGTTTTGCAAATTAGTTCCCAGTATTCTAATAATAGCTGTTAGAGGAGACAGCATGCTCGAATAATTAAACACTGGCCTTAATACTGAGTCTTAACTATGAAAACAACAACAACAACAACCACAACAACAACAAAAAACAATCAATTATGATATAAATTTATTTCTGTTTAAGTATCAATAGAGCACTATAAAGCACTCAATGTTCAGCGTTTTTTGTATCACATGATATTTTTGTGATCATGTCAAATAATAGAAACTCTTCTGCTCTTAAGGTTATTTTTAATTTTCCATGTTATAATGATATTGGAAAAGATATCAAATTTGAATTAAAAGTTTGAGGTTAATTCATCAATAAATAAAGAGGGCAGAGTACGAAATAACAATTATTTTGAAAATTGTCAGATTATAGAGAGATAACTCTGGAAATATTGGGATTTTTCACATATGTGGTTGATGATAAAGTACGTAAACCGTTATCTGATGTTTTAAATAAATCTCTCATAAACAAATGAGTAAACAGAACATTTTTAAGTAAAAGTTCAAAGAAAGATAATTCTGCAAACATTCTGCTTCAAATCTATGAACCTTATCAAAAAATTTTGTTTTGATGATCCAGAACATAAAATTCAAGTTGATACTGATACTAAAAAGTTATAGTAAAAATAGTTAACCCCCCAAAATTTATAATAAAAAATCTTAACGAAGATTTAGACGCTGACGCCGAGGTGACTCAGGTGAGTAGAACAGTTCTCCATATGCTTCCTTTATTCGAGCTAAACTAAAATAGAAATCATCATAGGTGTATCTGACTAACGTGTTCCGTACAGAAGAAGATGCACTTAAGCCTTAAATAAAAAGCAAAATGCGACTGCTTTTCAAAATAATAATAAATCCATGCGTTTTTTAATATACTTTGGATGTCTATTTTTTTTTAATTCAGCTTTACATTTTATTTATATGAAACAAATCAGTTTTTTTAGAATATCTAAATTAACAATTATTAAGAAAGATGGGAATGTACTTACAAGGGAAGTCACGAATGTGATTCAAACTGGGACTGGGTTGATATTAGTTGACATTTTTTACCATACTACTTTACATGGTGTCAATTTTCAATAGTCTACACTGATACATTTATTTTCACCCGAGTTTTACCTGTCCGCAGAATATTCACCTTATAAAACGGCATGGCCGTGAACTAGATATACTCCACATGTTATGGTATTTTACTACAATTTTACCTCAATTCCTAGTATTTGCAAATTTCATAGAAAGTCGAAATAGGTCGTCGGTATCATGCAATGCATAATATTTCCGTAGCAATTTAATAGAAGTACATATTCACCAGCAGTAACGTAATACTTCTTATCACGCGACAATGAATAAACAGTGACTTTTTTGTTGCTTTCTTGTATATCAATTCTTAGTATTTCAAAAACAGTAAAGATAGGTAGAGTAGATTTCACCGTAATGTCACCCACAAGGAAAAATATCTGCCTTACTTTACTGCCATGGCATATGGCGTGATATAAATTATTCAGCGAGAGAGATTTCATTAAAGAAGAAACATGTAGGTCATTACACTAGTATTTCAAAATAACCTCAAGTCCTTTTTTGAGCTTGTTTTCTTACTGGTTTAGTACCTTTCTTTCATTCATGTGTACAGCTGCAATGAGCAAAAACAATCATTTGTAACAATGAAAAAATTAGTTTGGTTTCAAAACCAAACCAACAGACAATCTATCGATGGATCGATCGAACGAACAAAACAAACAACCTGAACAACGAAAGTGCCGACTTTTTACAGGGCAAAGATTTTGTGTAGCGTTAAATTGTATAGACCTATCCTGTTTACGTTATCACGTTTTTATGAAGAAGAAACATTTCCCGAAGAAACAAAACTGTAGTAAGTTTGCAAATGTTGCACAATGCAGCATTTTATTTACTTAAGCTATTTTGTGCTATTTATAAAGCGAAGGTCGGGTTAATAAAACGGTTGTCCTGTTTAATTTGCATAAGACATCATGTACACTTTCTCAAAATTATGTTTCCAAAAAAACATCATATGGGTAGGTATTTGGTTTAAAATTAGAAATTAAACGCTATATAAACCAAATTTGTCAATATATTTCATAACTAGGCAGTGCAGTCGTAAAGTGTAGCTTGGAGTAAGAAAATATACACCGAAAAAGATTTTAAAGGGTATGTCAAAATACTTTATAGATTATGTCTTTTCTTTCTTTTCGAACTAAAATATGCTTAGCCTTACATATACTTGCGTATTGATAAATAGATATCTGCCTTAAGTTATCTATTAATTAAATTAATTAATCAACTATATTATTTTGTCTTTCAAAAAAGCTGTCACTTTACTTTTTTCGAAACTTTTATGATATTATGATATTTTCAATTTTAAAAATAGATGTATCAAAAAAAGTCAATGTCATCCATATTAAAAAAAAATACATTCAACAACTTGTTTAGACGTGATGGCTGAAATGGTAACAAATTAAATAGGACATTAGAGGAAAATTTGTTACGTTAAACACTTAAAAAAAATCATTAAATCTTGCATATGAAGAAACTACAATATAGTTGTAAATTTTCTTGGAAATTTTCGAAGATTCCGTCTCCTACATTATATTAAATAATCTTGAAAAAAATTAGTTTATTGTCTAGATAAAAATTCAAAAAAAAAAAAAATAGATTAAAAAGCCAAAATAATAAACGAAGAAGACTCGAATTTAGAATAGGAATTTAAGATATTTCTTGTTAGATTTATAGTTCTGAAGTTGTCTGCGATACGCTGGCCTCATATACAAGACCATAACCAGTTTTCAGTGAAAAGGCACGAAAATATTTCATGATCAATGTCGAATGATCAAATTTACTGATGTTTTAATTTTTTAAACACCCTTTAACAAACAATCAAAGGGACAGGACATGTATGTACTTAATAAGGATTTTTACATAAAATGCTATCAAAGCTAAAAGTCTTTAACATAACTTGTATGTTTTAGATAAATCAAATTTCAAATACACCAAAGTAACTAAAGTGGAGTCAATTACCTTCACTCTTGGTATCGCGCTGTATGTTAACTAAAATAAAAGTAAACTATGACTATTAAGTTCTTATTCTTACTACTTCTCGAATTAGCTCAACTTCAAATGCTTTTTTGTAAAGTTTGGTTTGTAATTTACTTAGGTTTCTATAATAAATATCGACTATTGCAATGCCCATTACTTTTAAATAAATTATCCAAGATATATGCAAGCATTATTTATCACAGCAATAAACAATTGCACAAAGTTTGGTACTTTCCTTCGTGTACATAAGGTATGACCATCCTGCTTTGAAGTGTATTCAAATTGGCTAGAACTACTGTTAACTACATTGAAACCGATGACTGTGGGTTCAAAAGCCAGAAGGGTCTTTTTTTCTTTTTGTTTCTTTTAATACTATTTATGTATCTCTCATATCCCTTTTGAGAATAAAAAAGTGTTTAATTTTGATTATTTAATTTATATAGGTATTTATTGGCTAAATAATGCTAATCTAGTTTAAATATGGTACCTGATATTTTTTTTAAAGTGTAATAAAATTGAAACTTGATAGTAAAAGTATTTATTAATAATATTTTACAAGATCAACCGATATTCTTCTTTGAAAATTTAGTGAAACTTTGAAAACAGGCACCCATTCGGGTAAATCTAAATGATTTCTTTAAATCAGGCTCTCTAAGTATGAAAATGGTCAAACACCTTTTAAAAATGGGTGGGGTAGGGTAACATTTTTATACATATTTCAATAATTTTGTGTAGAAACAATAATTTTACTTATGTGGATAGTAAGCTGAATGGTACTATTTGTTTCTTAACAAAAATTAATAGGAAATTATTTTTTCATTAGGATGCTTTTGCAGATTATTTAAAGGTTCCTCATTTCTGAAAAAGGGCCTTCATAACATTATAGCTTCAGTTAAAAATGTGGCCATAACTCAATTTCCGTACGGTAAAGTTTGTTCAGATTCTACATACATGTGCACTTTAGAGTATTTATCTGACCTATGATGACAATTTTTCAGTTCATTGTAGTCCCCGTTAGTGTGGACATACCTTAAGGAGCAATAAATGTGTAATGATTTTGAAGATATGCATGAGTTTACAAACGTTTATTTTATTACAGCAACCATGGAAAGTCAAAAGGTTTCTGAGAACAAAGACGACATGATAGCGTCTTACAAAGAGCTTCTTAATGCTGAATTATCAAGACCACCAACTTTAAAACCTGTACTTGCCGAATCTGTTGCAAACATTATGGACAGACGCTATACTGAAAATCTTGACAAAGCGCTTAAAAGCCTGGAACAAAGTCAAACTTTGGTAAATAAAGCGATGGATCAAAATGAACGACTAATCAATGCACTTTTGCTGAAATCTGCTGATGGTAAACAAAGCCAATTTAGTAAAGAGGATACTACCGATGAAAAGAGCACGAAGAACTATCCTGAAAGTAGTGAAAAACGCAGGATAAGTTCCTTGCAATCAATTTCTGGTGATAGGGGTTCTAATGAAGTTCAAGAATCAAATACAACTGTTGATGTCATGTTAGTATACTAGTAAAATATTTTGGTGTTATGTAAAGAATTCATACTGTATTCATTCAGAACAATATTTTTGTATATTTCATGCAGATTAATTTAAAACCATTGTGACATAATTGTCATTACTCTGAAAAAGACCAACTTTCTAGGTATTAATTGATTCCTCATTACACATGTTAAATATTTCTAGGTCCTCACCCGAAGTTGAGAAAGATAAGTTTGAACTTATATGGCGTGACTTAGCTGGTAAAGAAATAGATGAAGGTAACCCATTAAATGAATTATAAAATAATATTTCTCAGTATGTTAATAAACACTGTCATATGTTGCTGATCAGGCCAGAATATCCGCCCGATATCGCCAAAAGGCGCATTACCGAGGGACGGTTATTCCCATCGGAACCAAAAACAAGTGTCAGATTTTAGTAGGTGTAAAGGATTTGAAATTTAGAACATAGCCAATTAGGATATGCGTAGTTAAACATGAAATAAATTTATCATCCGGAGTCTTTTACAAAAAGAGACGAAATTAATTTGAACCACCTTTCTACATATTAGGCGCTTGTTGATTATTTTATCTCTTGAACTGAATGACCACAGTTGATTATTTGTTTAATTTAGGCCTAATAAGACAATAATTACCCTTGAAAATGAAGATTGTAAAGTGGACAGTTGCAAAACTTTTTTGACAACCACGTGATCACGTGACATTGTGGGACAACATCTCAGACAAACACATATATATTTTCGTTGATGCTTTATTATCAGTTTTACATGTTTAACCGTAACATTGCAAGAACAACAAAAATATCTTGAAAACAGGGCCTGTCCGAGGCAAAGGCGCTTCACTTTTCGGAGTGCTGGATAGTTAAATAGTTAAATTAAAGCATCATATAATAGGTGGGCATAAGTTTGCAAACGTGCTTTGCAGACTTCGGTTTTTCTCTATTAATATGCCTTAGATAGTCAATAAATATTTATTTACCGACGCCAACGACGATGATAGGGTCATTACAAAGCATCAATCTCTTTTACAAAACGCAGAGCTTATAAATCATATTTTTTTTTAAACTTAACAAGAGATAGATATTTCTGCCACAGTATTTCACAGTGATAATGAAAACGGCATTAGCAATATTTATGGACGCATTAAAAATGCCGTCAAATGAAGTTACAAGAATTAGGTGTATGTCACAGAGAATGACACTAAAGAGTGTACCGAAATTGACATCAAATTTGTTTTTTTAACTGACTGCAGATGACTTAAAAATATTCACTGATGGAAATTAAATAATGATGTACAAATGTGTTGTTTTTTTCTAAATGAAACGTCCCTTTTTATCACCGTTATATATTAACGATATTAAACAAATGCCAATAACAAGGCATCTGTAATAATTTAAATGTTGTCAATTCACATCGAAGGAAGAAAAGCTGGATATGGAAAAAGAACTGGAACACATGCCGTCCTATGCATTGACACGTCTGGAAGCATGAATGATGGAAATGCCTGGTCCCATGTGAAGCAGTTTTATGAGGAATATTTAGACGGTATATTAGTCTTTTTATACATTAACGTCTAAATAATATGATAAATCATGTTGACATCAACGTGCTCATTAAGAATTATTACTTCCTTTTCAGCGTCTGTCTCCTTGTGAATACTTCCACTATTATCCAGCTCCAATCTCAAAAGCATCACAATACTTGTGACAGACGTATATCATGACCATGTTGAGATTATAATTAACTTGAAGTATTTAAAATTGGATACTTGTAATCATGTAAAGATTATATGATTCTGGTATGAGAGGCAGCCATGTGTCATTTGTCATTGTTTTAATAAGCAGATGCAATAAAACCATGTAAGCAACTTTGTAATTTTTGCTGCTTGAGGGGGTCTTGAAAGATCTAACGTTTTACGATTCCAATTTTAATTCGATGAATATTTTGACACTTACACTCTATCGATTCATCAGCCACATAGTTAAGTGAAGATCAACTTAACGCCCAATGAATAAGTGATTCTCTTATATTGATAAAATAATTTATTTTTAAGGTATTGAACAACTAAAGGATCATGATGCCTACCATGACAACATTGCTGTGGTTACATTTGGTCAAGAAACGAAAGTCCGGCAAAGACTTACAAAAGATTTAAAAAATCTAAGGGGTTTGTTGGGTAAGTGATTGCTTTATATGTTATTATTAAATAAAAGCTACGTACGCAGGTATACATTAACGGTGAAAATAGAACATACATTAATCGATGAAACCATAGAAGCGCAAATGGACCTTATTTTCGTGCATTATCATCAACAGCCTCGTTGGACTTGAATCTCTTGCCCTGTGGGCTCAAATTTTAAATGTGTCCTCGTGTTCTGCAGATGTTAATACACACAAAAAGGTGTGTTTACCTTCAGTCTATTCGTTCTCGTAATGTTTTGATAAAATCCAGCTTTTTTATGAACATTTGTTATAGAAATGGAATAACCACAGGGCAAGTTAGTAAACCCTACCCGCTTGCGACTTTGTTAATACAGTTTTTATTTTAACTTAAGTGTAAGTTCGTACCCACTACGTTTCATATTCGTTTCAAAATCGATAGGCAACATATCGGTGTAAGAAGTATTCACAACAAATACAACATCCCTTTATTTACTTTTTAGCAATTAAATCAATACATAGAAAGGTACTTTCAGTTATTATAGCCAGAACACGTAAATCACACGTACATAAATTTGTTTCCAGTCCGTTTCGTATCATACAGTAGTGTAAGGCCATTATCATACATAACGGGGTAACTTTCCCAGTTGTTTGCAACTATGTATTGCTAGAATCAAGTACAATCAGTATATATAAGTTTTAAAGCATTCCACCTTGTTATGGCAGGCGACTTTATAACGTCACACTATTACATAATTGCAATAAAGCAACATATCATTTTTTTTTAAATAATTCCAGATAATATAACGCCATCTGGACCAAGTCCTTTCTTTGGAGGGTTAATTATGGCAGGCGCCGCAGCAAAGACATCAAATTGTAAGTAATGTTTTTTGCAGTTTAACAAAAACATAATTTTCTTAATAAACTACAAAAAACAATAATTGTTGCTTGAAACATTTGTTGATCAATACAAATATTCTTAATTGATTTTATTTTTCCCTGGTGATCTTTGGAAAGATAGGAGCACTTCCCTTCTTAAAGAAAATGAAAACAAAGTTCAATCTATTTCAATTTTCTGTGTAGTTTTATTTTCTGCTCAAATAACATTCCAATCACATGCCAATCTGCACATTTCCTATCCCCAGTCGTATGTTATAAGGTCAGTACATAGTACATAGTTAACTGTTTCATACGTTGAAAAAACATGTTTAAGGTTGTCGTAATAAGACTTCGATGGGACACAGGGTTGATCACAACTGTTATCTCAAACAAACCAACAACTTGGCACAGAAAATACATCCAAACTTATTTATTTATTGAACAAAAACATAATGCTATAATATTTTTTACATCATTAGATATATATTTCATCATTAGATATATAGTGAAAATGAGGTTCGGCGTAAAATATAAAGCAAAATTTTACAAACGTACTTTCACTTTTTGACAAAGATAAGTAATAATTATATAAAAAATAACATGCTAGTTGTTAAATGTATAGTTTACTATGTTTGTAATTCTGCTTTATGTACGTTTCTGAAGATTCCTTTGCATTGGTGAATGATCTTTTTGTTCCGCCTAAGTTGATTCTGGTGTCTGATGGTAGACCTACAGAGTTAGGTTTACAAGATGGCCCTGATGTTGCTGATCCACAGCAGATTGAACGGGTAAGTGTGTTAATGGCTTTTGCTATTCTTGATTAATAAAAAAAATAAATATTTGTTGTTTTTTATTTTTATAAATAGCATGCTTATATTAAACTAAACTTAACGGCAAAAAAAGGAGAGAAAAAAAAAGAAGAAAATAACTCCATTAAACAAAACAAAACAACCTTAAACCTTACTCGTAGTAGGTCGTTACAACATAATGAACACAATCAAACTGGCAAACGTTTACATTACAAAGACGTGGTATATGACGGCCACCATTAAACATATTGTAACAAGTTATGATATCAAAAAACATTGTTCATATTTTGTTTTTACAAACAATTTTCATTTATAGTCGTAGATATATAAAGTATTATTTCAAAACTAATTCTTAAAAGATATAAAACTGAAAACAAAGAGCAAATTAAAAGCAATTTAATCTTTATTTAGACTAAAGCTACCATATTAAAAGAAGCTGAAAAGTTGAAATTAGACCAAATAGATGTACATTGCATTTCCGTTGGCAAAAATGCTGATCGTGTAAGTTGGGAAAATCATTACTCAGTTAGAAACCTATGCATTTACCTAGTATTAGAAGTTTAGTAATTTAAAATATCAAATATAATAATTAAATTTATATTAGAGATTGAAACCATTTGATATGGGATATTCTTTTAAAAATAATATTTTATAAAAACCTTCCCAAGTAACATGTACTTCTTGATTCCCTAATTGATAAGTTTTTAATACTTTTAAAATAATATTAATATTGTGTTACATATGGATGCTATTGGATAGTTGTTATTTAAAATTAGAAGTTCATAATGTAAGATGCTTGAATTTATTTTAGGATTTTCTAAGTGTAATACAAAGCGAAAGTGTTAAAGAATTGATGTATTACACAGATGGGGAACGGATGGCATTCTACACTGTCATAAAAGTAAGCACATTTGGTGTTATAAACTAAACTAAAGCAACATTGATATGCATACAAATAAACTAAGGTAATTGTCTGATGTTATACGCGAGAAAGAATTTTGGCATATATTGTTATGCATCTCGTCCTTCTGTTAACAATTTCACACCAGGTCTGTGTTTTGAACCGATTGTAAGAAATTAAAAATACTTAGCAGAAATGTATACCAAAAGGAGACAATGAGCAGGGCTTAGGTTTTACCTTCGAAAGATCAAGGTTAGGTCACACTTTGAATGAATTCAAAATACCGTTTCGTATCTTTTGAATCGATGGAAAGAAATTAAAACTCTTTGGCAGAAACGTTACTTATAATAAGAAAAATAGCAGGATAGAGGGTAGTGCCTAAAAAGAAAACTGGTCCCATGATTTAAATAGACTCCTTTAACATGTTTAAGTCACTTGCAAAGCAACAATGTCTAGGAATTTTGCATTGATCCTCACAGATTGATATCAATCATCTTTTGCGCTGGTCTTGTTTATTTGAATTTTACGACGACATTCAAGGTCAATGCATGATACAAATGATTGAATTCACAAATGTTATCCAAACAAAATCTAAAATGGAACCAGTTATTTATATAAACGAACACACAATTGTTCTCCGATATTACCAAAGTGGACCACGTGTTCATATTTATTTAATGAGAAAAAGAGAGTTTGTTCAAAACGACCGAGCAGCTAGAGAAATAGAGATGATTACTTTAGAAGATAAAGCAGCCGAACCCAATATGCAATGACGTTTTCCTTCAAATACTTATAATCTAAAACATTAATGTCTAGTTATATATAAATGTTATTTTAGTCAAATCAGTACGATCACTTTATTTGTAATTTTCAGTGCATGAAAGAAGGTAATCAGAAATATGTACGTTGTGATTCGCCTGACATTGACAGCTTGGATGTAAAAGGGGTAAAAGAATTAATCTTTCAATGAATCTAGATATTGAAAATTATAGCTAACCTGTAACGTATAGCTAAACGTAAGTGAAACTAAATATATTGTTATATGTTTCTAAGGTTTAATAACTTCCAACTTTCTTGGTGTTGGACGATCTCAGATGCCCTTCAATGCATCATTTTAGGCACGATCAGGCACCTTCGTAAACTAACCGACTTTCCGTAAGCTACCTGGATAGCCTCCTTACAAAAGTAAATCAAAAGTCCCTTGCAGGATTTGAATTTACAGCGATAAGGGGCAAGTTTTTAAAAGTCAACAAAACTTAACCACATGGCCTAGGACGTCCCAAATGGATTTTAAAAAATCGACTATGGCATGTAAAATTTATATTTGCATCTGTGCAGGGCACAGATGAAGTCACCGTACTTAACAAATTAGTCACCAGACGCCCCTTATAATATTTAAAAAATATTTTTTTATAATGTTTAAAATTTAAGATGCGGTTTCTTTTACCATTTAGATAGCAAATGGGTACTCACCTAGCGGAAAACTTTCTTTGACACAAACGCGAAGTCAGAATTTAATGAATACTCGCTTATGATGCAAGTACAACTGGCTAAATTTAAGTTTATTCTTGGTCCTATTGATTAAAAGTTTAAAACAGTACGTAGATAAATCTTATACAATGTATGTTAACAAAAAATGATTTTCAATAATTTACTTCATTTCGAACTCATAACAAGATTTTAGAAAGGGCAGTTTTGATTTTTATAATATTAATTAATTCACTATTTAGTTCCTTGTGGATACAAAAGAAGAACAAAAAACATCCAAAGGAGATAGGTTAAGCTTTTTAAAATAATAAAAAACATTATTTTTCTTTTTTTTTCCAAAGTAAAGCTTTGATATATATATATATATATAGAACATTTGACAAATTGTTTTGGATTTGGATGTTTAAATTCGCTCACGATCGATGTTGATTCTATTCTTTAAAATCTGTCCATCTGATTAGCTGTACAGAATTGTTAAAGAATTGATGCATAAATAGGGATAAAATATATGCCGTAAATGAACGGGCGTAGAAAAATCAACTTATCTTGTTCATGTGACTAAAAAATCCAAGTTTTGAATCTCCTACTTGCCGTTCCAATGTGTGCCTTTTGTGTTTGTTTGTTTTTCATTTGAATTTTTATTTCATGTATTGTTATATGGCTTGTGTGGTTACACGTTTTATGATGTACGTAAACTTTTTTAAGTTATGATTACCGGTAAGTATTTCCTTGCCATCTCCTTGCTGTCTATATTGCAACCCCTTTTCATTCATGTCTCAGTTCTATAAGTTCTCTTGTTATGTGCTCTTAGGTATCTGCTATTACACTTGTGATTCAAATATATAACTTGCAACAACAACATCCTATTGTACTATTCCGTATTTAGTTCTGTGCCATATTGGATGTCTTGCCGAAAAGGGCTGCGTTCTGTGAACGTCACTTTTTACCTTTTATCTTATTTTTCATACCACGCTGTTGAAAAAACTTTTTGTTTTAAGAGTTTAACTGATTTCACCTATTTCAGGCAACAATAACAATGGCAGGCGACCGTCCTATAAATGTATATAAAGAAATAATAGATGGGAAATATCCAACAATAGGAACACGGGTTGAAAAAGGGGATGATTGGATATGGGGAAATCAAAACAACGGTGAAAACGGGACAATTATAGGCCATGCCACTGACACGGACGGTAAATTTCTTTACTTTATAATATTTTCCTTACTTTATAATTTTGACAAAGCTATAACGTAATTGAAAGTACTTTTAACCTTTTAACTAAAACTAATAAAGAATTGAAAATGTACACTGAGCCACATTTCTAATTGGTCACCTAAATCTTATTTTTCCACCAAAAAGTAAATAAATAATCTAAGTCGATTAATTGTTTGTAAATATTGCGTAACTTTATCACAACAAGAGCCATGTCAACATGGCCATCCCCCGCCGAATGTGTTTGCTCATTGGAAGAATGTATATGTAGTAGAGCGGAATAATTCCATTTTAAGAGGTCTTTTGGTAATGAAAACTGATGGCTATAGTGATTACAGATTTGAAACCTATGTGAATACTGATGGCTGAAAATAACAAAGGGCAATTACTGAAAAATGATGCAGGGTAGGTTATCATTCTTGTGTGCTGCATCCCTCCTCAGTAAAATCTATCCACCTATGAAGTTTCAAGTTGATACCTCAAATACTTTTTGAGAAAAAAATTGAATTGAAAAATTAAGTATGAAAAAGAACAAAGGGCAATAACTCAAAAATTATAAAAGGTAGAGTTATCATTCTTGTGCAGTGCACACCTCCTGAGTGAGATCTATGCACCTATGAAGTTTCATTTTGATATCTCAAAGGCTTTTTGAGTTATGCTCTGGACAAAAATTAATTTTGAAAAATAACAAAGGGCAATAACTCAAAAATAATGCAGGGTAGAGTTATCATTCTTAAGCACTGCACTCCTCCTCAATGAGATCCATCCACCTTTGAAGTTTCAAGTTGATACCTCAAATACTTTTTGAGATAAGCTCTGGACAAAATAGCATGAAAAAAAAGGGCAATAACTCAAAAATTGTATAGGGAAGACTTTTCATTCTTGCGCACAACATTCCTCCTCAATAAGATCTATCCACCTATGACATTTCATGTTGATATCTCAAACACTTTTTGAGTTATGCTCCACTCAGGTGAAAAATTTGGTATGAAAAATAACAAAGGGCAATAACTCAAAAATCATGCAAGGTAGAGTTATCATTCTTGTGCACTGCACTCCTCCTCAATGAGGTCTATCCACCTATGAAGTTTCAAGTTGATAACTCAAATACTTTTAGAGATATGCTCCGGACAAAAATGTCGGACGGAAGGACGGACGGACGGATGGACGGACGGAAGGACGGAAGGTCGGACGGACGGAGACTATTTCTATATCCTCCGCCGAAATTTTTCGGCGGGGGATAAAAATATAAAATGATAATGTTTCAAAGACCGATTGTTAAAATTGCCAAAAGCCTATAAAGCTGCATATTTTTTATAAAGAACAGATAAGGAAAATTTAAACTAGCGCAGAGACTTTTCTAATGTATTATATTTTGCATGGTAAAAAAGAAATAATAATTGAAACAAATTTAAAAAGGGGTCCAATTATTAAATTTTTGAGTGATCGATCCCTGACAGTGAGTTTATAGCTCTTTATAATCTTTTTCAAGAGCAAATAAACTTGAATCAAATCCATGGCAAGCAGTGCATTATTTGCTTATCAATTAATTTCCTGTAATGTTGCAGATTTTTCTGAAATTCTATGTAACAGATTTTTTTCTTTAGTTGCCTATCAGAATATTTAAGATTTATGCCAGTTATGCAATTAATTTTAAGAATGCAGAATGTTTGTTTATATAAGTGTTGTTTTGGTTAGGTTCTGGTTACTGTATTCCTAGAAATGTGCGCGGATACAATATTTCGCGTTTTTCACAACATCGCCATTTTCGCGGAGACAAACTTTCGCGGTTATGTAGTAACCGCGAATTCCGCGAATGTTAAGTCGCTAAGGCCTAAATAACAGTTTTTGGAGCTACGTTTTTTATGATTGACCTTTCCTGTTGGGTGCTTTTAATTATTTTTTTTTGACAAGTCTCGGCTTAAGCGCAATGTTACTCGATACATTTTCATCTATTGACTATTCGAACAAGGATGGTTGTTCCGTGAACACATTCATATTTCCTTACCTTTTTCATAATGTTATTAAGTAAGACTTAGTCAGACCCGTTAGCTTTTATTCTAATTTGAATCAAAACTGACTTGATCTTCAAAATGTCGATACGTATTTTTTACACATTATCGGACTGTACATCGCTTTCATTATAACAACATAACAGCTGTTTATCAATGTAGCACTTGATCCTATTGTACTTTTAACAAAGGATTACACCTACTCCAAACAAATAAAATCCAAGACATTCAATGTTCGCAAACTGTAAATGCGTTTGTCAACGCCGGTAACTAGCAAATAACGCCATGTTAATTACTAATAATGATTTTTTTTTTTCTTTTTTCAGCGTGCAAACTAGTATCAATAACATACATAAATAATTCTTTACACATTTCTATAACACCTATTTTTATATGTTGTTTTGTGTAAGTAGATTATAATAAATATTCTGCACTTTTTATGTTATATTTGGTTGAAGCTAGAAATGTTATAAGTGTTATAAGTGACATATTCGCGGCTATAAAGATTCGCGGAATCATGCCTACCGCGAAAACCGCTAACTTTAAAAGGATCCAAAACATAAAAAAGAAACGCCATATAGCAGTTCTACTTAATATTATTCTTTAGATAAAAACTGACACATCACATATATTTACACACAAGTCATGTCAATTCCACTTGGTAAACAACTCCACTCCAATACTCCAATAAATTACAAGGTGACCTGTAAAAACATAACAAATCCTAACTTCAAGTAATACATATATAATTGTCAATACAATACATTACAATCTCTGAAGAAAATCATTCATCTTCTCAAATAAGTCATACATAAACATTAAAGGATGCCTTTAATATAAAGTAAGTGGAATCGTGTGGCTTACACTCATATTAACTAAATCCTAACATAGAAGGTTAAATATTACATTTTACATATAAAGTGATCATCTGTTAAAAACAATATAGTCACATCACACATGTACAATAACAATAATTTAACTCACCAGTGTTTGACACTATCCACAATAATAACAAACACTTGCACAACTCCCAGTCGCCTCTTCACACATGTACTATCAGTAAAACTGTAAATTTAGAGGTTATATAATAACATTTGATAAGATATTGAAGATATCGAGTGATATTTAGATTTGTTAAAGAAAGTTGTCCCGTACCGCCATTAAGATAGTTTCATATGCATAAATTCTATGTATTAAATAAATTACCAAGAGTTCACGATTTAATTAACACTCATTACCAATATTGGATGTAAACAACAGTAGGTCAAAACATACCTCAATACAATCAATCCATTTTACAATATATCAAACATGTAAACCAAAATAAAACAACCAGAAGATGTAAAAGACATCTAACCTCCAAAAACTTGAACTTAACTCAGTAAGGCGGATACGATGCCTCGACCAATGAAAATCAAGAATTGAAAATAGAACCATTCAGAACGAGGCTAAAAACTTATATATTTACCAAACACAGAATAACTCTGATAAAATTCGGACCAGTCACATGAGCATAATACAATATTGTTGATTAGAATTGTTTCAAACTTGGGAAAATGGCTCAAAATAAAATAACTTTAAAACTAGAATTTGTATAAGTTCCTGAAAATGAGTTTTGGGTTATCTTCTTAGATAAAATATAAGAGCAAACTCACTTTCAAGTAAATAAATAAATAAAGATAGAAGGATGGTCATCTTTTCATATTTTTGTATCAATTGTCATTCTGTTCAATCATGCAAATTTCGAAAGAAAAAAATGACTTTTTCATTAATCCTCTTCTGCACCCCCTGTTGCAAAGCAGAATGTGGATTAAAGGATAGACCTCCGTCTGTCCATCTGTAACACTTTCGTGTCCGCTCTATAATTTTTAAACGCTATTTTTTAAGATAACTTGATTTTGCTGTCCTGTTGAATTAATATTGAGAGGGATTTCAATATATCTTTCGGCAATTATTCCAGAATTTCGACCCTCGCCCTTTATTGACTTTATTCTCTCAGATTATTTTTTCCTAGTAATTAAATCGTTATGATATGTATTTATCCCCACATTTGACACAAACATCATTTCCACGAAGTGTGTTTTTGTAATTTAGTCACGCAAGGTTAATTTTAAAAGGTGAATTGATTTCGTCATGGTTGCATAATATAAATTACACTAAGAACAATATGTAAGAAAACACATATGTAGCTAATACTTCTTAAGGGATGACCTATCAGAAATGTTGTTGAGTATTTATAATCTGCTTTTGTGATAAATTCATCGTTATGATCTCTTGTTAAGTACCATCTTTATGAGAAATCCTTAAAGAGGACCGTGAACAACTGGATCACGATCCGCTCTATAATATGAATTGAAAATGGAGTAGTTACACATGTAGTTATGTCAATATGGTTTAAACATTACATTCGATGTCAGAAAGATATTTATTAAAGCATAAAGTATAATAAAAGAAAATGTTGTATTTTTTTGTAAAAAAGACGAACAATGTTGGGTTCAAGTAGAATGGGACGATCAAAGTTCTCCAAAAAAGGGAATACAAAATGTTTACCGATACAAAATGGATTATACCATGGCGGAAGATGTACGCGAGGCGGAAATGAAAGATCGGATACCTCCAAAGGGAACAGTTTTAGCCGTTGGTTGCAGAGTGATACAAGGTTTGTATTTAGATTATCAAAATTCAAAATGTATTGCCAATTCGTATCCTCTTACGTCTCTTTTATCTACTTTCCACAAGGATGACAGGGAGAGGTAGGGTTAGGTGGCGAAAGCCTTCACGTGTCACTACCCATTTCCATTAAAAGGCTACGTCAAACCAAGAAAGCCTACAATAATTTTCAAATAATTATGTCGTTTATGGACGTCCTTTAGGAACTCTTTCAGTATTGTGATTATGTTTTGAGTGATGGGAGATTCGAACGATAATAGTAACAACAACTGTGCTTCATAATCGTTATTTACTTTCTTTTATTTCCCATCCTAAGAGCTAAAATTATTTGAAGCAAAATTCCACAAAAGCAATCACAGGACACTTTTTAAATAAAAACAAAATCATTATGAAGCTTCTTTTTGTGAAGGTCTTTAAAGGATGAATGTCATATATGAATATCACAATTGAAAATTTTGCTCCGGTATATCATTTTGGCCAAGTATCAACCAAAGACATTGATAAACAAAATGTTGCATCAATATTCATAAGATGGCTCCAAATATCAACTAATCGATCAATCAAGTGGTAAAGAGTTTAAATACATTTTCATATTTGTCCCTAGGAATATCAAAGGCCATGGTCATTCTTTGGGTTATTTCACATTCATGAATGAGATTTGGCCAATTTAATAAAAAATCAATAATTTGACTTTAAAGGACAGTGATATTCAAAGATCAAGCTTATATGTAAATACGTGACGATTATACCCTAGGTTGCGGATAGTCTTTATAGGAATCAAGAAACGCCATTAATAATAAATAATGGTGATTTAAAAAAAATAAGGATTCTGACTGACTGTCGAGATCATTTTAATGTCATGTCTTAATTGCTCTCAGCATGGCAATTTCATGGTTCATAAGTGTTGCTTTGTCGGATTAATTCAATTAATATCATATTTAAGAATTATACTCTTGAAGGTGTTAACCAAAGACCAAACATTAATACAATCCTTCTAACTATCATAAAAAAATCAATAATTGACATTAAAGGGGTCTCGGCCTTTTTTCAGCTTGTGTACAATTCATCATGATTATTTTACGCTTAAATATATATTTTCCAGGTAAAGGGTTTACTGGAGATAAGACTAACATGGAGGGGACAGTGATAAGGTTCCATAGAAGTCTCGTGGAGGTACTTGTATCACAGAGTACAAAACTTATATTTCATTTTATAACTTTGCTTAATGCGTTAGTTTGCAAATTTAAGGTTGAGTTTACAATAAAGTTACCAGCAGAATCTCGTATATCTAAATAATTATACCATTAAATGCCAGTAAGTAAAATATATCTCTGAATAGGATTAGAATGTTTCCAAACCTCAGAATGAATAAGTACTTTATAAGCAACAGCCTCTTACGGTATTAAAATTGACTTTAAGGTTCGATGGGATGACGGAACCAGAGACAAATATCGTTTTGGTGACATTTCATCAGAGGTCGTACCTAAGATGGATCCAGGTAAAGTATCTTTTTTAGACAAAATGAGCATACGAGAATTATATAAATGTAAATAAAAACTTCGTTAAATCATAACCGACATAAATTTTAGCCATTAAATTATCATTCGCAATTAACATTTGCATTTTTATTTTAGGGAGGAAAGTACGTCGAAAAAGCATTACAAGTAATCTAACATGTAAGTACGGTTTCGTTTATAAAATCAAAAGAAACAGCGACAGCGATATTTCTTTACTTCAACTCAACGAAAAAGTTAATACAAAATGCAAATTCAAGCGGCGGCCACTATCGCGTGGCTTTCTCCGGATGTAATATTGGGACTGTTTTGTTATTTTAGTACTAATACGTACTAAAATTTATCTAATTATCTTTCCAGTCCGCCGTATTCCCAAATTGAAGATGAACGATAAGTTGGTAGGTCTGATTGCAAGTGCAATCGGGAACGATTTGCAATATTTGGGCGAGGAATTTGCTGTCAAAAGTGCGCTTATTACTGATATACATGTAGCAGAAGAAAATCAAGATGAAATTATCAAGCAGAAAACTGCGATGTTAAACGACTGGATAAAAAAAGATATGAACCGTACATTAGACGTACTTGTAAAAGTCATTCTTGCAAGTGGTGTTACATTCGATTTTGATGAACTGGGAAGAATTGTTGAAGCTGCCAAAAAAGGAAAAGAAATTTGACTCTCTCCATTACGTTCAGTACTTCTTTTCACTTTCTTTTCACTTTCGTACTTTCCACTAAACAGAACTAAAAGTAATGTCATATAAATGTATTTTATGCATCGAAATAAAATGTGTGGACTTCTTAAATTTACAGCAGAGTTTGATAAGTTTAACCAGTTTAGACAGATCCAACCTTATCGGTAATCGTTAGTTATCAAAATTACTGAACGTTTTAGTTTATTTTCTCATATTATAACTTTATATGTTACAGGTTATAACTCTTACCTAATGTAATATGACATCACATTTCTAGATTTGTTTGAGACTATTCATATACTATTTACTGACTGTCAAACAATGGTAACTAGGTTTCATCAGAAAATGTAGACAAAATTAAAAAAAAGTATGATATTACTCAAAATGTAACAAAAACTTGTAACTTGTAATATACATTTTTTTTTGAAAAAATAAATATACCTGGTGCATGAGATAGATAATTGTAATGAAAGTATATCATATAAATCACGGCGCATGTATCCTATAATCCCATTTGAGGAAATCAATAATGCCTATGCAGCATGACGTCTTTTCCGTTATTCAAACGTTGTGTAAAACACGCTTATGTTAGGGTTACACTATATCTTCGTCTATTAAAAAAAACTTATTTTTTTACTTTAAGGGTATGCCATAAATAGAATATTACTTACGTGCGGTTGCATTACTGATTTTATGGAACTCGTTGAATAATACAAAATATTTTATTCAAATTATTATTAAATTGATTCAGGATTTAACCTTCACTTATTCAACATTCTCTATGTATTGTTGGGACGATTTTAGTAATGATACTTACATATTTTCAATCTTGAGTCGGTTTTTTTTAGTCATTTCACTCAAGTTAATAAAATGAATATTCTGTATGTTTTTCAAAGATTTCTTTAAAGTGGTGAATTATCTATTTTTTCTATTTATATTATTCAGAATAGTGTATTCGTGTTAAAATATATTCATTTCGTTGTTAATCTAACTATTAACATCTTTTCCACATTGAAATGTATTCATTTTAGTTTGAATTATTATTTGTAGTTAAAGCTGGAGGATAACATATTTTGTTATATTATTATTCTTCTTATAACTTTGAATAGTGCATTCTCGTTGGAAACTTCATCTCCATTACATTGTAATTCTTACATTTTATTCATGTTTTTACACTCTTTTGCTCTTGATATTTGATTTTATTTCTTCCAAATTGGAAATTGTTGATTCTATTTTATAATGTCAATATTAGTTCTTAGCTTTAATACCGGAAAATTTATTTAAATTTCACCGAGCTCCAATCTATATTCATTATTTTCGGCAACGTTAAATCATGTTTTCGTAAGGAAAATTACATTTTTTTATTGCATGTATGAACGATTTTAGATGGTAAGAAACTAAGATTCCAGATTATATAATAAAAAAAATGAAATTTCATGGTAATAGTAAATACTGATCTGGTAAGGTTTAGTGTGTTAAATCGTTTATTCATTATAACATCTTCATTCAACCGAAAAAAAAAACGCGTTTTCCTTTTCATAATCCATTTCATTAAATACTCGTATGTTGTCTGACAAAGCTCTCATCTTTTGCTTAATTTTCTAATCGGTATACTGGTCATTATATTTAATGTTATTTATTACTTCCACAAATGTCGACAAATATCAAAACCATGGCAGTTTATTCGTTTTGCAATGTGTTTTATTCGATCCCAAATACCGTGCTTCCCGGATCACGTACCCCTATATTCCCTTTTGCCATCATGTGGTACTAAAACTAACCCGGATGAAATAATTCTGTACTATTAAAGAAAGTATATCCTGGTGATTTTTATGGAGCAAAAATGTTAAAATATGAACGTTTTTAATGTGACATTTTGATTTCTTGCAACTTATTTAAAAGAGATATTTTGAAATATAACGGTAGATTCTCTGTCTTCAATTAATTAAAGGAATGCCGCTTTATGGACAGTCAAAGGTTGAAACATTGGTTTATAATTAATTGGATACAAATTAAAGTAAAAGTTATTTTAGTGTAATTATTAAGCAGACATTTGCATGTAATTCAAATACATATTATGCTCAAATTTAATATTAGGAAATACTGATACTTGCAACAAAGTCTGTTTGTAAATATGAAATAAACATGTTTTGACTCAACACAAATGAGATATGTGACATTTAAAATTGTACACACTAAAGGTGGTCACAATATGATTATATAGTGTCATTAAAAAACTGGCATTTTCTATGTAAAGGCTTACTTAACTTGACCTGAAATAGGGCACGCAGCTGTCCATAGATGATTTATGTTAACAAAAATAGACATATTAAGTAAGAATTTCACAGAGTTCAATAATTTTCGGTGAGCAAAATATTTTACTCAAGCATGGGGATAGCATATCTTTAATGTATAGTCACAGGAAAATGAAAAAAGGAATTTTATTACATATCTATCTTATGCAGCACTGAACATTATAGAGGAATAATATAGTTTTTGTTGTTTTTGTTTTGTTTTTTATCACATCACAAAGATTTTTCGAAATGTGTATTAAAATGTTATTAATAAATTGCCTTATTGCTACTAATGAAGTTAATCAGAATAAATGTATGTTCTACTTTCATATATCGTTCTGTTTTTATTTTTGAAATTTTGATAAAGCTGATTATTTGCTTGAACATTCACAATTTCAGCATATCATTACAATGAATGCTACAACGGTGATAAGTCTTCGAGATACAAAACGTTAATATTCCATATCTCTTATTTCTCTTTTCTTTTGGCGGCGTGACCGAGTAGTTAACGCGTCGGACTAGTAACCTGATGGTTTCTGGCCGCGTGGGTTCATATCCTGTCAGTTCTAAGCCGTTGTTTCCTTGAAAAAGTAACTTGAGAATCATTGCTTTGTGCTGGTTTGGTTCCAGTAACGAATTTCAGATCCCAATTTAACTATATGTATTTGAGCATAAACATAGTGGATAAGGCATTAAAGGGACCATACTCGTCACATAATTTAATCAAAATAAAACAGCACACGCGTGACCTCGCTTTACTATATGAAAGGCGGATATTAAAGATTTGGAAGCCAATATAATGTCCGCACAGAACTATCCCAATCATCTCAGAAGAAAAATTCAAAACTGAAAAAAGACAAGTTGTGAATTTCGTTTATACGGGCTTGCTTGCTAGATGATTCTAAAGGTAAACAAATGGATATATTGAAAAAAAATTCAGACGTTTTATGACAATGCAATGCAACAGCTCTTACAGTGATGCATTTTTGTTCGTCTCGGTAAACTACCCGCTTTGCATGACAGTTGTACAGTCTATCATTTGTGTACGGAGATAAAATAACAATGTTTTTCCAATAAATGAAATGATCCTGAGAAATATAGGATTCTTTGTTCGGTATGCGCTATCGGTAGTTATTGAGCGAAAAATACCGACTATATACCAAGATTGGTAAAACAAAAATAGACACAGAACAAAAGAGCCATTACAAAAAATGCATTTCTTTAATTTAAGCTTTTAATATTAACATAAACTAAAATAAAATAACCCAACAGAACCCAAATAAAAGCAAGGACGTGAACGTCATGATAAATAATTGATGTTGTCTTATAATTTAAAAGTAATGAAGCAACCTTTCTTTAATACTTTTCAATAAAAAAGATTATGTCTAAATACTTTAACTGAAACCCATTTTCATTGAAATGTTCTCAATGGAATACAATAGTTCAATTTGTGTAGTTAATATGAACAAAACTTAACTAAATTTACTTTTATATTTTATTGACAGTAACAAAATAGTATAATTGTTAACTAAAAGTGACAAAGTTAAATTATCTACGACTGAGAGTCTTAAGTATGATAAATTTGTTATCTCCCATACTGCCATACAATGCATTGTATCAGGGAAGTAAATTATAAAGAAAACCGTTTATCTTTAAAGGTGCATTTTAAATAAAAATCTTCATCAGAAACAAGTAGCAGGATTAATAAGAAATTTGTAATCACGAAGCATTATAAATATTGTTAACAACATAATGAAAGTAAACAACAATTGTAATTTTGTAAGATGATACAAGTACAAAAGGTTTGTACGTGCCTTAACATTCATGGCCATGTGTATATTGTATTCCTGAACCGAGATGCCGTATCGCACAACGCTTTTCTGATTACTTGATTTTTTGAAATATTTCTTAACAACTAATTTTTTATAAGATAGTTTCGTGTTTGATGAATTTCAAAATTAATAACGAAATAATTGGAATAATAATTAGGCATAATTTCAACAATGTTGATTGATTGGTTTGATTTGCAATGATTTAACCATTTACTTTTTGTTTTTTGTTTTGGTCTTCCTTATTTTTAGTTATCGTTTAATGTATACTACATCCATTACAAAGAGGATAATTAGAAAAGATATATCACACTATTGACTTAAATTTTATGTAATATATAATAATAATGCAATTAATCAATTGATGATGAAGGCGTAAGCCGAAACGTTGATAAGTAAAATCAATCAATCTATATTTACTATTTATTTTTGATTTTTCTATCCTCGAGTGTTAAATATAAGAAATTCATATTTGTTTGACCATCAATCTCAATGACGCTGCATACAATTTAATGAATTGAGTAATTGTCAAACAGCATATTTCTAGATTATTTTCAATAACATATGACTTTCGGAAAGACATTCATTCAATGTCATGACAAGAAACAGGAAACTTGCAAAAATGAGAAAAGAGATGATGAAATCATCAACTGCAAAACAGGGTTCTTTTGTACACATCAGTTACACAATAAAAATTGAATTTGAGCAAAACATACATAGGATAATGGAAAGATAACGGGGGAGGGGGGACGGATGCTGCGCTTGTTCATTATCTTTCATGAACAGACTCAGCAAAACCGAGTATTCGATGTACATGTTTATTGATGTCTGTTTTGCTTCCGAGGGATCTTTACTTTATCTAGAAAATTTGACTTTGATTTCATTAAAGATCATTAATAACCATTTTATACAAGTTTGTATACTTTCGTAGAATATTACCAGAGGACCAAGAGGCCGTTTTTATATACGTAAAAGCAAGAAGTTTTGTTCGGTATATTGTTCTATAGATTATGTCAGAGAATATAACTATACACCTTAATTATTCGTTTGTTTTGATGCTGGTGTTTTATCAATTTGTTTAATTCATTTTTCTTTTCTATTATTTTCCAATTTAATTTTGGTAAACGAACATATGAAACATATTGGTAGTGTTCACTTCAAAAACTTTGATTGAGTATACGCTACGAAAACTTTGGAAACACGGGATACCTCAAAGGAATAGCAACGTTTAAATGTTTTGGTACAAGATAATATTTTACACAAAACCTAACACATTCAAATGCTCAAAACTAAAAATATTATGTTAAATAATATGAAGTTAATATGAGGTATTATACTGTATTGAGTACAATACTGAATTCAGAGCTGTCAAACCTAAATTGAACGAGACTCTATCTGCACCTTATATAGGTTTTGCAGCTTTGTACTAATAGAATCAGTTTTGTTCCCAGCAATGTTTAATGACCTCTTTACTTCATACCATCATTTTTGACATTTTAACCGAAATCTGCTATTTCAAGTACAACAAAGGATTTGATATGGAGTAAAGAAGGACCAGCTGATGCCTCCACACACCATACACGACCCATCACATAGCGGTCCTGCTCAGCAATATACCGGCTTTAAAACATTCAAAATGTCTTTTCCAAACTCTCGCAGGCCTGTCAAATAACCTAGACTCATTACTGAGTAGACATGTACATGTAACCAGTTTCGATTGGTCCTCCCAGCATGCTCCCTCACTCATTCTTAACGGGTCTGTGGCGACAACGAGTAAATAGCACTCTTACACAAGGTCTTCTTAATCGCATATTACTCTAGTGCAACCTTCTACACACCATTTCAGTACAATAATTGACCTTTGAAGCATCAAGAAGGTACTAACGAAGATGCGTTGCTGTTGCAAACTGTTCTATACGGGCCTGGATAATCAAGAATCGGTCTTGAACTGCTGTTGTAATCGGTTGTCTGCCTCCGCCATACCTACTGTCAGGTGTATTATATTGTTGGTATCTTGCCAAGTCTCTGGTGAAAATGGTGTGGGTGGTGAACACTAATCTACAAACTAACACCAAGGTGTGTATCCCCCTGCTCCAACATCCCTACAGCCCTTCATATTCATGCCTTACTCAAATGCCATCTTATCATATCGTTTGCCATGTTACCGACGCAAAAATATTTGACATTTAAATGACCATAAATTTGTAATATCGGTGTAGAAAGATTATACTAGCAATGTGTTTCTGCTCCCATTAAAAATAAAACTTTAAAACAAGAACCGCATGCTTTCCGTGGCCAGCGAGGCCTTCACGATGCAACATATTGCATTTAGTGCATTTCAAACCATTGCTGAATCAGACTGAATCAGACTATGCAAAATAAACAATTAAAGATATTGCATAGTTTTCATAATATAGTTAGAACCTCTTGGTGCTTGGCAACAGTTGAGTACTATATATTTATTGAAATCAGCTGGGGTCCGGGCACACTCATTTTCAACATAATAATCATCTTTGTTCCTTTCTCATATATAAAACTTCAGCATTTTAAAGTTAAAATGCGTTGAAGAAGAGCCAGTTTTATAAATTACTAGAAAAAAAACCCTCAAGAGCAGGTCTATAAGTGCTCCTAATATCAGTACAAATATAAACTGTTAAAACATGTTGAAGTGCACATGGTAAACATTTATCAAATGAATACCAACTGCATGGAAAGCAAATATATTTTTATAACTATAAATGACAATTAAATTCAAGTAAGTGCTTTTCAGCCTTTTTTGAGATTTGCATTTTTCTACTTATTTACAAATAAAATTCTGGAAACAAAGTGATCCCCCGGAAGCATTAATCACAACAAAATAACATAAGAATTGCAGACTCGGTTTGATTGAGTCTGTACATGAGGGATAATGAATAAGTGCAACATCCCTCACGCCCCCTAGCACCGGCTTGAGCGGTACTCAATTCTCAACACTTTATAGTGTTGGCATCAATGATCCCGAAGGACCAGAAAATATAACAACACTGAAGTGAAGTACGGGGCAACTTTTTACGGCTGCCACACGGCACTTAACACCTGCTGTTGTGAAGTACAAAATTCTGGAAACAAAGTGATCCCCCGGAAGCATTAATCAACCAGAAAAAAACTAGATAGTTTTACCCATTTAAGTTTTGACAAGTTGACTTTGATGAATTTACTACATCATTATTCGATTGTTTATTTTACAGAAGAGAGTATTTAACAAGTTCCTTGAATAAGTAACTTATTGTACGGCTGGTGTTTAAGCTCCTATCTCACGATTGTTCCCTTTCAATGAGTGCAACATTTGAACTGCGTGTTTACGCTTCAAATTGTGCATTTAACTCTCGAAACCCTTTTCTTATGAGCGGGGCAATCTGTTTTTGTCTGCATCTGAATACGTTTGCATGTGTGTTTCATTTAAGAATATTGTTGGGACCACGTTATTCAATTGTTATGTTGTATATCTTTGTGGACGTTTC